CTCCCTCTTCCTAAATTCCCAAATCTCTAAATTCCCACTTCCTAAATTCCCACTTCCTAAATTTCCCACTTCCCAAATTTCCCACTTCCTAAATTCCCCAATTCCTAAATTCCCATTTCCTAAATTCCCAATTTCCTATATTTCCAAATCTCTAAATTCCCAATTCCCTAAATTTCCAAATTTCTAAATTCCCCACTTCCTAAATTCTCAATTTCCCAACTTCTCAACAAGCTAAAAATTAGATATCGTGGTAGAATACAAATTTTGCTTCGAAATTCACTTTCTATGAAAGCAAAGAATGTAAACGACTCTTAAAAGTATAATTTATGCAATATGGATTCTCATTATTGTTTTCAATATCCTATACTTTCACGTTATGCATCCGTTGTTTAGTAGGTCACCGATCGATATAATAATGTATTCTTTCAGGGAAATAAAATGTAGAGCAATTAAGTGTATTCCTAATTTCAGTCGCTTTTACTACTCACTCACTCTTGTATCAACTGAAGTCGTTAGTGCTAATGGAAGTAAAGAATTTAGGATGTGGATGAAGAATTTAGGGTCACATTTAAGAGATGTGATTTTATAAAAATTATATAGATTCATATGTGTGGATTCATAGAAGCAATATATGACTAAAACAGTGGATTGTTCTCATGAGATTGGGAACAGATTTGGTTTAATTTTGGTTCAAATTTTTGTTAGGGTTCTTTCAATTATTGTGGAGATCACATGTAGTGTAATATAAGGAGAACCATGTGAGTTACAACCTCTTCTCAAGAGTAAATAGTAAGTTAACCTTTTTTAACTGGTAAGTTTGTAGCTAGTAACTCTAGTTGTGAGACACCCTATATAAACTATAATATGGCTGGATGGCTCTGGATGATCAGAAGACAACTTCAGCAATTGTGAAGAATAAATAGCTACATGAGATATATTCAGAATATGGTTTCATGAATTGTAGTCAAAATACAGCTCCATCAGTTATATCTAAAATACAGTTTCATCAATTGCATCCACAATGTAGTTTCATCAAGTGCATCCATAATGTAGCTTCAATAAATGTCTTCCAAAATATAGCTTCAGCAACTGCATCCACAATACTCATTCATGAAGTTTATTCAAAACACAACTACATGAGATGTAACCAAAATATAACTTCATCAACTACATCCAAAATGTGGCTTCATCAACTACATCCAAAATGTTGCTTCATCAAGTACATCCAAAATACAGTTTCATGAATGTCTTTCAAAATATATCTTCAGCAACTGCATTCACAATACTCATTCATAAACTGCATATAAAACACAACCACATGAGATGTAGCCAAAACGTAACTTCATCAATTGCATCTAAAATGTAGCTCTATCAATTGCATTCAAAATACAGTTTCATGAATGTCTTCCAAAATATAACTTCAGCAACTGCATTCACAATACTCATTCATGAACTGCATATAAAACACAACCACATGAGATGTAGCCAAAATGTAACTTCATCAATTGCATCTAAAATGTAGCTTCATAAATTGCATCCAAAGTACAGTTTCATCAAATGTATCAAAAACATAACTACATGAGTTATAGCCAAAATACAGCTTCATCAATTGCATCAAAAGTATAACTTCATTAAATACAATTGAACTTCATTAAAAATATAACTGCATCAAAAGCATAGCTTCATCAACTGTACCAAAAACACAGCTTCATCTCCTATAACCAAAATCAGATTTCAGACAGCAGATAGCATCATAGACATACTTCAAAACAATTGTACTATCAGAAACTTTGACATAAACAAAAAGTTTATCAAGAACTATTAAATAAATCAACCCACTCCAAAAAATGTGGAGTCCCTTTCTAACATATCCCTTTCTATCAAATAAGGTGCAACGCCTCCCTACAAAATCAACATCCACATCAAAAAAAGTGCATCCAAAGCATTCTAATCACACATCCCAAGTGCCTACTCTCACAGAACCTTTAACCTTCTAAACCTTGAATCTTCTGAACCTTTAACCCAGGTCCCATGAACTCTAAAAGGTTCTCATCACAGTAACAATGTCAGGTTAAAGGTTAAGGCACAATATGGCAAAGGCTAAACGTAACACGTCTGCCAAATACTCTTATTTGGGTTACTGCTCTGACACTTCTCTGAACAATAAAATTCCTCGAAATTTTACGACGTATGTTTACTATACGTACATGTGATTCGAGAGTGACATAACTCGAGGAAACGTACCATGTTTTCCGGGAATCAAGGAAGCTGATAAAAACTGGGAGATACTCGAGGTGAACGTTATTTTCGAATCTTAACCTCTGACAAGGTTCTCGTTAACTCGGAATTTGGTCTTCGTTAATTTGATAAGTAGTGATTTATCTTAATTATGATTTAGTTCAACGTAAAGCGACGTTTTGTGACAACAGCTGAAAAGGTTAAACAGTCAATTTTGAGCATGGTTTCTGAAAGCGTCCGCCACGAGTATCAAACATTAAACAGACCCCAAAGTTACTTATGAACATTTACCCAGCTGTCCCCCTTATAATTTGAATTATGTCGAGTTAGGTCATTTCCAAAACACATGGTATCCAGAAAGAACATTACCAGACACGTGATCCATAGGCTTCTCCAAACCGTGCATCGTGTAGGCCCAGCGATTGTTGTCGACCGGCGCAACAAGGAACATTCTCAATACTCGAAACAGCTGCCGTCAGCAGTGAAACAGCGAACGTGTTTATCGACACATTCAAAACGAGCCTGAATAAAGAACCAACTCCGAAGAAATCGATACTGTCCCTGAGACTTAGCTCCGGTTCCGACACAGATCACCTTCTTAGAGGAAACGTTTGATTTACGGAAAAGCCGCGAAAAGGCAGTCGCAGTTCGAACGTGTTCAAGATAGCGAAGACGACTAAATGCGAACACGGCGCCACAGACTGCTGAACTCTCTTTCCCGTCTCTGTCTTTTCTACGTGCCCCCCTCTTTTTCCCTCCCTCGTTAACTGTGATACCAACACATACGCGGTACCGTCTCTTTTTCTTCGGGGGTCCTCCTTTGGAATATCTCTTCACATGTGTGCATTCTCATTCCCATTTTCCATCTCAAGCTAAATCTCAAATTGTTCATATCACTATTTGGGAACTTGAGCTAGAATGTGTGAGGAGCTGAACTATTTGGGGCTAACTGAAAATTTGCAGGGGGTAAAAATTGATCCTTTGCATAACAGTTAGATCATCTCCTCTCTCTAAGGGTTACTCAACCTAACATCATACACTTTCACGATACTCGATACATTTTTCTCGAGTCTCACATGAACGTACTTTCCATAAGGCGTCTCCGTCGCACTCGTGTATTCGCCTAATTCCGTCCCGTGGCGCCCCACCATTTCATGCACCTGCGCACTTCGCCATTTTGTCGAGCCTGTCCTCGTCGCGCGTATCTTCCTCTTTCCGCGCGCTGCACATCTCTCGGTCCTTGTTCCGTTAATTCCCTGGATTTTGCGTATTTGCTCGCTCACGGGGCCCCACTATCAGGGTAGGGTCACCTTATTCGGTCGAGGCAAAAAAAAAAGTTCTATCACTCGGTGAGCACGTGCTCGCTCTCCCTCCTACTTCTCGCTGCGTGCCTGCTTACCGAGCGTTCCAGGTTATCGCCGGCCGATTCTTCGCCGCATGATTTTCTGTTTACCGAGCGGCCTGATATTGGCGTAAAGAACGGGTTTTCTCTGACGTGGCTCTATCGAGAAAACTCGATATATTTTTCGAATGTTTTCGTCGATATCTTCGATCTTGGAACGAGTTTTTGCGAGTCGATGATTCACGGTTTTGGAGGTTGTTGCCTCTTTTTCGATTATGAAACGTTGCCTGAGACACAATAGTAGCCAAAATATTCCTGACCTAGCCTCTATTTGATATTTGAGCAATTTTGCGACGCAGTGTGTTTTAACGGTTGGAAGATAAAATAAATAAACCAATAATATAGATAATTTTTAAATGTAGATAATGTTTATCAAGTTTGTAATTAATTATTGACGTGTAATGGCAGATTCATTGTTTACAACATATGACGTAAATAAATACTAATTAATTTTGGAAATTTAAGATACGTGAACATTATCTACTTCTGCGACGTCTGCAATAAATTTATTCTTGCAAACAATACATTGTAAAAAATGATCTTTAATACAACTTGAATCTCAATATTTTCATAAATGTTTGTGAAAAATTGTCAATATTTTCGTTTGTGTTTTCTGTTGTGATCAATTTGCGCAATTTTGTAGATAATCGATCGTTATCTGTTTTGTGAAAAATTCTTAACTTGATGATCAATAAATTTATTTATGATAAGAGATGACTTAATTTGACATTTCTGAGTATTGCTATATATACTCCTACATTTGTTTTAATAATATATATTTGTAGAGTTGTAGGTTGAGAACCACTGAGTCAAAAGAAAAAGACAAGTAAATCCCTATACCTGGGTCCCTTACAAATGTCCCATACAAAAGCCATAAACTAGACCCTTAGTAAAATTGTTCCCAGTACTTTTCCACCGCTTTCACTCTCTCGTGCGCAGTATCGGTACCTAAGTACACAAAGGGGACAAAATGGAGGCAACGCGCAAACTCGTACTTCGATCGATCTGAAGGTATCGAACTATTTCGTTTAATACACGAGTACAATCGATACTTCATGTTTCACCACTCTTAGAAATACACCTTAATATCCCATTGACTCACTGCCAGTGACTCGGTAATTTTCCATTGCCCCAACGCTTTTCCTTTGTGGGGAGATAAGCTGTTTGTGGAAAGCGTTTCAAACTTTTTTTTTGATATAGTGGAAAATTGTTGGTTTTTTGTAATATTGGGTTTTTTAATTGGTACTTTGGTGTTGTTGTAATTATGGAAGTGAAGGTTTTGGATATTAAATTTCTAGATTTTTTCATTTTTATATTTTTGAATTTGTAATTTATTAAGTTTGTAAATTATGTAATTTCAAAATTCTTGAAGATTAAAATTTATAATTTTGAGATGTGTAAATTTGCAAATCTCTAAATTCCCACTTCCTAAATCTCTACTTTCTAAATTCCCACTTTCGAAATTCTCAAATCCTTAAATTCCCACTTCCTAAATTTCCAAATCCCAAAATTGACAAATCCTTAAATTTCCAAATATCTAATTTACTTAAATCCTAAGTGCCTATTTCCTAAATTCCCCACTTCCTAAATTCCCAAATCCCTAAATTCCCAAATCCCTAAATTTCCACTTCCTATATCCCTATTTCCTAAATTTCCAATTTTTTAATTCTTAAATCTCTAAATTTCCAAATTCCAAAATTGACAAATCCTTAAATATCTAAATCCCTAATTTTCTTAACTCCTAAATGCTTGCTTCCTAAATTCCCCACTTCCTTACTTCCCAATTCCTAAATTCCCAAATCCCTAAATTTCGAAATCTCTAAATTCCCACTTTCTAAATTCCTAATTCTTACATCCCCCACTTCCTAAATTCCCAATTCCTAAATTCTCCACTTCCTAAATTCCCACTCTCTAAATTCCCAAATCCCTAATCTTCTCAACCCCCAAATTCCTCCCAAAATTTCCAAATCCCAAATTTCCTTAACTCCAAAATTGACCCCCAAATGCAAAAGTCTCAAAATCCTCTAAAAAGTCTCCAACTTCTCAAGACTCAACCTCCTCCCCAAAGCACTTACATAAACCAAAAAAATATTTACTTGCATCGTAATACTTTTATCAAAAACAAGTATGTAAAACAATACAAAAAACAAACTCGTTACAATTACGTTCTATTTATGAAGCAATTTTTAAATTCCTCCGCTAGAGGCTCATATAACATAAACAGCTATAATTGCACTTAACGGCGAACAGGTATAACATTAACGGAACACGCGGAAAATGCAATTGTTTTTGCATATTACAAGGTTTCCTGATGCACTTTTTTTAAACTAATAGGGGTACATTATATAAGAATGGAAAAGTAGACGCACGTTTTTCTATTCAGTTCTCATCATCCGAATGAAGAATGGAGACCGTGTCACTGGTTCAATGTATCCGTGAAACGAGAGCAGTTATAAATAAAGAGGGTGCTAACTCGATTGAAGATGTAGTTGTATACGAAGAGTTTGATCAATTGAATTCTTGATGCATTAAGTGCATCGATGACTTATATTTATGTCTACTTATAAGTTTGTTGGAGAAGAGTAGAATAATTGTTAACACTTGTTGAATTGCATAAAAGTGGCGGGTAGACAAGGTCGATTGTCTCCCTCCATTTTCTTGAGATCAAGAACAATATGGCGAGAAGATCTCAGCTGAAGTGCAGAAGTAAATTTGAGGAAGAGGAAGATTATAAAAATGATATGAGGAAGTTTGTTGGGGTTAGAGAGTGTTGGAAATTATTGAATTTATATTTTGGTAAATTTTCAAATTAATACATTGTCAAAATGTTAGTTACTGAAATAATAAATTTTAACTAAAATTCAAATTTCCAAATTCTCAAGCGTCCAAAGTTCCAAGTTCTCAAATTTAAATTTTTCCAAGCTTCTAATTCCCCAAATTCTCAAACCTACAAATTCTTAATTCCCCAAATTCTCAAATCTCCAAATTTTTATATCCCCAAACTCTCAATGCTCTAAATTTCCAACTCCCCAAATTCCTAATTCCCCAAATTCTCAACTCCCTAAATTTCTACTTCGCCAAATTCTCAAATCTCCAAATTCCTAATTCCCCAAATTCCTATATCCCCAAACTCTCAATTATCTAAATTCCTAATTCCCCAAATTCTCAACTCCCTAAATTTCTACCTCGCCAAATTCTCAAATCTCCAAATTCCTAATTCCCCAAATTCTCAAATCTCCAAATTTCCATATCCCCAAACTCTCAATGCTCTAAATTTCCAACTCTCCAAATTCCTAATTCCCCAAATTCTCAAATCTCCAATTCCTCAAATCCCCAAATTCTCAAATTTCAAAATTTCCTATTCCCCCAATTTCCAACCCCCTAAATTCTCATTTCCCTAAATTTTCAATTCCCTAAAATTCCCTAAAATTCCCTAAAATTCCCAATTACCCAATTTCCCAAATCTCCAAATCTTCAAATCCCAAAATTTGCAAAGTCCCAAGAAAAATAAAAACAGACAAATTCAAAAATAGTCTCTATTTACGAAATCCCATTTTTCATATATTTCCGCAGCGAAACAAGTTGCCGAAGAATTTCGAACTCTTTTTCATACGGCTGTTCGTCCTTGAATATATTACGTAATCGTAAATTTACATTTTCGCACGTATTCGCGAGGTCGTTATACTAATTTGCGGATTTTCATTGACACGATTCCTTCGATAAAACCGAAAGAAATGAAGGTTATCACGACATTCTAATTGTTAACACCTTAATGGAAGCAAGGACTACACGGTAATGATTATTCATCATAGCAATTATTGTTTACAAAGAAAAAGTTAAAAATTAAATATGACACTAAATATATGATTTTTTTTTTATTAAAACTTATATCAAATATCATAGTGATTTCATTTTGTTAACACCTTAATAGAAGCATGGACTACACGGTAATGACTATTCATCACAGCAATTATGGTTTACAAAGAAAAAGTTACAAATTAAATATGACATGAAATATATGATTTTTTTTTTATTAAAACTTATATCAAATATCAAAGTGATTTCATTTTGTTAACACCTTAATAGAAGCAAGGACTACACGGTAATGATTATTCATCACAGCAATTATTGTTTACAAAAAAGAAGTTAAAAATTAAATATGACATTAAATATTTATTTTTTTTTTATTAAAACTTATATCCAATATCACTTTAAAAATAATTTCACCTTGCAACTAAAAAAAATTTTAAAACCAATTCCTAGAAGTTGTAAATTTAAAAATAGAAAAAATATGATTCAGAAAAAATTGTTTGA